AAGCGATGTGTGTCATTTACTCGAAGTCTCGAGCAAGTTGGATCATTCAAAGATATCGTCCACATCATTTCTATGCTCAGAACTACACGCTCGTTGCTCTTAAGAGACCGTTTAATAGCTTTGATCCGGTCGTTACTTAAAGTCGAGATCAATGCAAGGAAGTTCATTGATGTGGGGGGGATCGACTTATATGTAGAGCTTCTCACATTAGTCCATTTACACTCAGACCATGCTATTATCCCATTACAAACGAACTTGTTGACAGCTGGTGTTGCCAGTGGTGAATGGTTTTATGCTGAGATGTTTGAAGAGAAGAAAGTGAAGAAAGGCCCTGTATCTATCGACCAATTAAAAGTCCTTGTAATGAACAAAACTCTCGACGAAGACATTTTGGTCTGGGCACAAGGAATGGAAGATTGGAAACCGTTAAAAGATGTGACGGTCTTGAAATGGGCAATTTTACAAGAAGATACCGGAGTCCTAACTCCTTTACTCTTCTGTCAAGAGATCATAGGGACTCTTGAAGAGTTAGTTACTATGTATCCTTCTCGAGATATGAATGGTATCTTACTCCGACCAATTCCACGTGCAAAACGACTCTTAAGTTCACCGCGACACTTACCACACGTCGTTCAGTTGTTACTTACGGCGTGTCCACAGATCATAGACACGTCAGCTCGACTCCTTAAAAATTTATTAGAAGACAACCCACCGGCACAACCAAAATTCTACTTGACGGGAGCGTTCTTATTCTCATTAATGTATGCCGGGAGTAACATTAAAGAGATCGCAAAGTTACTTGCAGCAACACACAGACAACAGCGAGTGGGGGATGCAGTCGAGTTATCTGCACTCAAGAGTATGTTGCCGGGGTCACTCATCACCGTGATCGACAGATCGCCGGACGAGTTTGCCGCGCGCTTTGTCGGCGAAGTCGCGACGCCCGAAATCCGCTGGGGAAGTTCGATGAGGAATTACTTGATCGACACTATAGCTCAGCACTTGGGCGACTTCCCCAGTCGACTTGGGAGTAACCCGCTAGCGGTGTATTCCTTTGTCCCAATAGCACCACTTGTATATGAAGAGCTTAAAGGCGAGTTGTACTGTGGGAAGATATACCTCAATCAATTATGTGACGTCGAGAAGTATCCCGACTTTGTCATTTCAGACCCCGTCGGCTTGTTACAATCGATCTTAAGGACTTGGGTTGAACTTGCGGAAGAGCCACAGAAGATGTCTACAAGTGAAGCGTGCAAAGTGCTTGGGATAGAGAACCCGGACGACAAATCGAAGCTGCGAAAGGCGTACTTTAAATTAGCGCAGAAGTACCATCCTGATAGGAATCCGGAAGGGCGAGAGATGTTTGAGAAGGTGAACGAGGCGTACAATCAACTTGTCGAAAGTGGACCTGACGAATCAAGTAACAAAATTGCTATTATATTGCAGTCGCAGTGCATATTATACTCAAGATGTATTGAAGACTTATCACCATATAAATACGCGGGATACGGACTCTTAATACCTTGTTTGAAGGACGCAGACTTGATGAGTCGCAGTCTCGAGTTGATCTACTTGACCATCAGAAGCTCAACACTGAACGTACAAGAACTTGGAAGACTTGGTGGCATGAAAGGGTTACTTACTATATTAGATGTCCTCTGTACCGAAATCAAAGACGACAAAGTGAATGACATAAGATACATTTTAAGAGCGTGTGCGGTCGCATCTAAGTACGAAGAGACTATTACGGAGATCAAGAAAGACACTGGGATGCTAGGGAACTTGAAAAAGTGTTTGTCGTCTGAAAATTTGGCGTTAGTAGAAGCTTCATTAGAGTGTGTGACGTGCTACTCGACTTGTGATGAGTCTATACGCAAGGACATGTATGCCAAGAACTTCTTGGGGATCTTAGTCCATCGAGTGATGGGGTATGACCCAACACTTGAGGATCAAAGTGAACAGACGGACCAACAAAGTATTCACCAGATGAAGAATGCGATAGCGGGGATGTCTTTGTTAGCTCTCAAAGCTTTAGTCAAGATCGAAGAGAACAATGAAGAGACTCAAGGCGTCTTTGCACTGTTTACACCACAAGTGGGGATGAAGATGAGGACTAAACCCGTCACTGAAGTCCTGCGAATTATTAACTCGACGACACAAACACCTTATCTCTTGTGGACAAATAAGATGAGAAGCGAATTAGTCGATTACGTTGACGCGCATTTATCTGGGACCCTCGAGTGGCAACCCAAAGAGTATGCGTTGTACAAGTTCCCGTCTTTGGAGAAGGAGTTAGTCATCACGTCGATCTATGTGAGGATATTTAATGAGCAAATTCGAACGTGTGAGAAGTTAGTGGACCCCATGATCTTCTTAAGAGGGTTGGTGACACGAAAAGACCTCCAAGGCGAATGGCTGAAACAGCAGTGTCAAGCTATTGCAAACGTCTTTGAGCAGTACGACATCGCAGTCCAGTTCTGTGAGAATTCCGAGTTGTTAGAAGCCCTCTTTAGTATGTTAAAAGAAGACCCAGAGGATCTTGCAGTGCAAGAAGCGTTATTAAGAAGCGTCAAAAGACTTGTGAGTAACTCGTCCTGTGTCGAGGTCATCGCAAACTCGAAAGTCTTACCCAAATTCCTTGTCTTGTTATACCCAAGTGGACTCCTCACTCAAATCATCCCACTCGCTCAAACCGTCTTTTCTATTATGATTGGTCTCCAACAAGGCATCTTAAGAGGCGGCTTACTTTATTTAATGAATCACTTTGTCAACGGAACGGACTTGGACCAAAGAGTCTTAGTCTCCCAGTTAATGGGAAAGATGTCGACGACGCCTTCCGTGGGGCCTAAAGTGACACTTTCCCTTGGTAAATTCTTCCCAGCTGCTATTGTGAATGCGATTAAAATGGATGCGAGAGGCGCAGTATTACTTTTGGACTCGACAGCGGAGACCGCCGAGTTAATATGGAACCCGGAAATGAAACGAGACGTCGGACAATTCATTAATAAAATGGCCGTCGCGTTCCATACGAAATGTCAGAGCGATCCGTCTGTTAAATGGCAAGTCCCAGACTCATTCTCGTTTGCTTATAAGGAACTTAAAGACGAAATTTACATTGGCGGAGTCTTCATTCGCATACTCAACAAGAACCCTAGCTCACCATTGAATAACCCTAATCTGTTCACCGACGGACTCTTCGCAAAGTACTTTGAAGCGCGTCGGGATGGGAAGGTCGATGATATGAAAATGCTTGCGACCACAGCGGCAGTGTTTTATACTAACCAACCGCAGAACTTGGAGTATGTAGCTGGTGCGGGACATCTCTCGAAAGTGATTGAAGCGCTTCAGATGACGCCGGATGAGACTCTCTTCATCATCTTACAAGTGTTGGTGACGAATAAAAAGTGTAAAGAAAACTTGTTGGATAACAACGCCGTTCCTTTGACCGCAATGTGTCTCACAAAAGTTGTCGAACATAACAATTTGGTGGCAGATGTCTTTAGATCGTTAACAGCAAGTTACAATTGCAGAGGAGTCTTATGCTTTGTCCCACGGCTGTGTAATGCTGCAGTGCAAAAGAACATCTTTAGTGTGTTGGACGGATCTCTCGACGAGAAAATGGGAACAACATCACCAGAGATCAAAGCAATGGTCGTCGACGCTGTACAAAACGCTTTAACAGACTACGACCACTCTACCGAACTCAACGAAATCTTGAACCAAAACCCTATTTGGAAATTGTATTCAACACAAAAGCATGGCCTCTTTTTGTCAGGAGCTTCGTCTATTGCTGGATATATTGCTGGTCCTACATCGTCTGGCGCCGTTGGGTTACTTACAGCAGCAGAAGACTCTTCCGTCAAAAGACCCGACGCTCCTCCTGATTTGCAATAATTCACTTTTTAATTTAATTACTATAATTTAATAATACTGTTCTCGAAATTATTATAGAATAAATTAATTATTCGATGTTAATAATAAATAGTTTTTCAAAAAAAAATAAATGTGAATTTTTATAAATAACAATTTGTTAAAGATTAAACTAAGTTATTAACTATTATTTAATAATAAATTATATTAATCTTTCATAATATTATATAAATATTTTTATTACAAATTATAATTGATTTTATATATTTAAAAAAAATGATATAAAAAAAAGTGGAAAAATTAATAACTAATATATTCTAATAAAATATATTATAACTTAGTGATTAACAAAAAATTGTTATATAAAATGTTTTTTATACTTCACAATAATTCAATGAAAAAAATGTTATTAATAAATCTATTAATAAATTAAATAAATTAAAGTGATTTATTGAATGATAATAGTGTATTTCAACTTACGAGCAGCATTATCTGGCATCCACGGTCTTATATAATTTAATTCAATAATAGTTGTTCCTGGTTCTTGAGGTTTCAAGACGAAAAGTCTATCTGAAGGGAATCCTACCATAGAAGGTTCATGAGGCACCGCAGTAGTTGTGTCGCTTGACAAGATTAATTTAGCGTTATTAAGTTTCATATTCCAGTCGTATCCTGTTGTTGGATTTGTTCTGACATTAATTTCAATAGTATCTTCTAGTTTGACTTTAATAACTTTTTCGTTCTCTTTTTCGGTCAATCTTGTCTTGACACTGAACGCTCCGATGAGTAAAACAAAGAGAAGAGATATATTCATTGATTTTGAAGTTTTCTCTTTCTTCTCTCTTCTAGTAAAATTAATAGAAAAGAATCAAACTATTGAAAAGAACTAAAATGAAGTTAATAAAGTACTACTATCCTAGTTAACACTAGTACCTCACTATTGAATAGTTTCATAGAACTATAATATTCTCATTTTTTGGTATTATACCAGTCGAAGTCCCCGTCGTAGTCTATGCCATTCTCCCTTGCTACGTTTTGAAACGACTCTCTCCAAAATTGATACCTTGGCTCTTCCTCAAATCGGAGTCCTCTGGAATACATCAAGAACGTTTTAAACTCAAGTGGGAGCCCCGCGCACAATTCGTCCAAATTGATTTCCTCTTTCTTCTTCAAGATCTTGTCGAACTTTTCCGTGTTATTTTGTCGCGAGAAGCCTTGCCACGGCAATTTTCCTTGGAGGAAATAGATGAACATATACGCAAGACTCTCCAAGTCATCTCTTCGACTTTGTTCGTAGCCTTTGTGGTTGTTAATAGATGCGTACCGAGCCGTTCCGGTGAGTGATTTGTCTTCAGTGTAAGGGATGTGGACGCCATTCTCCATATACTTCTTTGATAATCCAAAGTCGATGATATACACGTAATGAACATTCGCCCCAGAACCCATCACAAAGTTGTCCGGCTTGATATCGCGATGAATATAAAACTTCTTGTGAACACGTTCGATGCATGTCAGGCATTGGTCTACTATCATCAAGACCGTCTTCAACGAAAACGGCTTGGAAACATATTGTAACAAATCTTCTAAGGATGGCCCGAGAAACTCCATCACCATCACATTGTAATCATCTTGAACACCAGTATAGAACACTTTGGTTAAACCAGGACCTTCATTCCCTTCAGCTAAGTATTTGTATAAGGCAGCTTCAGCTAACAGTTGCGGGTGCTTACAACTCTTTAACTCTATTTTTATCGCTACTTGTGTTTTGTTCGTGATGTCTAACCCTTGAAAGACATCCCCAAATGAACCACCTCCTAATTTCTTTTCTAATTTGTAGATGTCATGAATCACAAAATCAGCTCGTGACATTAAGTATCTTTAAACTCAATTTGATTTTCAAAGATACTAAATAGTAACTCTTTTTAATTTGTTTGTTGGTCGTTTATTAATAATAATAATAATTATTATTATTATTATAATTATTATTTTTTATTTATTATCGTCACTTGATTTCTTCAATTCATTGGACTTTTTAAAATGTAAAATGTAAAATTGATATTTAAATTTAGTTTAATTATTAATTTTATTTAATTCTTTTTTGTGTCTTTTTTTATTTTTACCAAACAATTGTATTTATTAGAAACTATTTAAGTTTAATTAATCATTAGGGCATACTAGTGGATGGACGTCTATCCACTGGATAAGCGTCCATCCAGTAGATACATGCTTTTTTGCTGGATACAAATAATTTTTAGTAAAATAAAGTCAATTTTGTCATTAAAAAAAAGCATTTATTTTAAAATAATAAAAATTCTTTTATAAGAAAAATATTATCACCAAATGGTGTAATCTGCCACATAACAACATTTTTTTTCATATGATATGTTAATAATTATACTTTTATAAACATTATTTTTTTAATTTAACAATTTTTTTAATTTACACGCTATTTTATAAACAATAACGTTAATTTTTTACTTGAATGAATACATCGATTTCAATTAAATTTGTTCGTTAATATTTGCTCCTTATTAAAAAAACAACTCGTTAAATAATATACCAAAAATATCAAAACAAAACTGTTTTTTTAAATGGATTTTTATAACGGTACCAGATAAATGATCTTGTTAATGATACATTGTAATGACGAGTCATTTACACACTGATCTACAAAATGTATTCCAATATTCCAAGTATAGTTTTATGTTGGTAGTTGAATTAAAAGTATAGTAAGATGAAAAATGGAGAACTTGAAATAAAATTGGGTTATTTTTTTTAAAATTTTGGGAGATCGTCCTAAAAAGTTGCAGTGGATGGATCGATTTCGGTGGATGGGGTATAACAGCCATATATGGGCTATTACTTCGGGATTATTGGTTTATAGGATTTTTGACGTTTTCAACAAAAATAAAAAAGATATCGGTAAAATCAGTAAATTATTACCTAAGAAATAACACCGACTATAATTATATGACCGTTATAAAAAACAAACAAATAAATATTTTAAAATGACTCTTGTTCACTCTTTTTTATAAACATGCTAAAAGTTGAGAATGAAGGTAATCTTTATTAATAATACATTTCTGTTTGCAGATCAAATATAATTAAAATAGATAAATTTTGACAAATCTAACATTTACTAAATATCTTTTTTTAATATTAATAAAAAACACAACAAAAAGTTAAGTTTTACAAAAAGAAATTAACTTTATTTTTAACAAAAAAATATGGATGATTGAACATGATTTGCTGAATTTGTAATTATATTTTGTTGAAAACGTCAAAAATCCTATAAACCAATCATCCTGAAGTAATAGCCTATATATGGCTGTTATACCCCATCCACCGAAATCGATCCATCCACTGCAACTTTTTAGGACGATCTCCCAAAATTTTGAAAAAAATAACCCAATTTTATTTCAAGTTCTCCATTTTTCATCTTACTATACTTTTAATTCAACTACCAACATAAAACTATACTTGGAATATTGGAATACATTTTGTAGATCAGTGTGTAAATGACTCGTCATTACAATGTATCATTAACAAGATCATTTATCTGGTACCGTTATAAACTATAAAAAACAAAACAAAAAATTACCCCGAAAAATAAAAAGAACTGATTTGTGTTTAAAAACGAGAAAACAATACTATTTTTTACGAATTTTTTTAAATGTTTCGGTCTTGGCAATAATTACCTAGACACGTTTATCATTAATCTTCTCCGTGAAAGAGAATGAATATTATTTGGATAAGAGTCTTTTTGGCAAAATCGACCTCTTATTTTTCAAAATTTTATTTTTTTTTCAATTTTTTGGTGCCCGATATTTCAGTCTATTTTTCCCTTTTATACACCAATCCACTAAAAAACGCCAATCCAGTGTCATGCCCTTAAACTTAAATAGTTTAATGATTAATTGATTATTGTGATTTAAAAAATAATAATTTTTTAATGGTTTTTTCATTTAATTTTTTTTTTCAAATACATATTAATTTAAGTATTAATTTATAATTTTTTTGAAAGCCATGTTTGGTAAAAAAACAATTAAAATATAATTATTTTATTATTCATAATTAATTAATAAATCAAACAAAATTTATGTTCTGATTTAAAACAAGAAACTCAAAGATTTACTAAAAATTACTAAATAAATGAAATACAATGACATTAGTAATAATTAAAAAATTAATAAATTAAATTATTTAAAAACTAAACAAAACTATCAAATGGTTCATTTAAATAATAAAACAAACCAAAATTTATAACATTTGTTATACATGGGTGTGGTCTTCTTCTCTTCAAAAAATTAGAAGACATATTTTTTGGTCTTCAAAATAATTATTCGTCCAAAATTTCGACTCCACTCCTTATAGTTCCCAAAATTGCATTCTCATCACCTCAAAAAAAAATCTCAATTTTTTTGTACTTAAAAACAAGAACAAATGGTTGATAGTGGCAGAAGACCACAACACATTTCCTCGAATGGGGACGTTTACACAGCTTTTCTGATTGTTCCCTTTCTTATATTAATCATTGGTGTTGTGATCATGTTAGTCACGCACTCCTCATTTTTCCAAAACTTCTTTTCGACTTCGCGCCCGACTTCCAAACTTCGGCTTGAGGTATCTTTACAAGATGCATACGCCGGTCGGACGATCACCCAGATGATCACACGCAACATCAATTGCCCAAAATGTGGGGGTACAGGCGCCCACTCTTCTCACGACATCCACACGTGTTCCCGTTGTGGTGGTCAAGGCAAAGTCCGTCAACAAGTGAACGTTGGACTTTTCATTTATGAAGATATTGTTATGTTTGTTCTTTCACTCACACGTATCTATTATATATAGTATAATAATAATATTATTATACTATATATATTATTATTATAACCATATTATAACTATATTATAACTATATATATTATTAATTATAGTATAATAATATTATTAAACTATATATATAATATAGTTATAATATCTCTTTGATTCAATATTCATTGAAAGGTGTCCACGGTGTAAAGGGAGTGGTGTTGAAGTAACGAAATATTGTGACAAATGTCGTGGGAGTGGCAAAGTGAGTGAGTCGATTAAGGTCTCCATCGAGATCCCGCCATACACCCGTAATGGGGATGTACTCACAATCAAAGGAAAAGGGGAGATGGAAAGCGATTTGTTAGTCTATTTGTCCGTTCCAAAAGAGGGAAAAGGGTTTCGTGTGAACGGAGATGATTTCGATTATGACTTAAATATATCTCTAAAAGAAGCCTTACTTGGTTTCGAGAGAAGAATCGAACATTTGGATGGTCATCAAATACTTATTAAAAGGAGTGGAGTGACTGAGGACGGAAGTGTTATACCAGTCTCTCGAGAGGGTTTAAAGAATGGATTCTTCTCTAAAGGGTATTGTAATTTTCATATTAAAGTCGATGTCAACAGTATAAGTCAAGAGCAAGCGAGAAAGGTAGCAAAAATACTCAAAGAAAAGTAGTCGTGTTATGAATTAGTGATTTTTTGATTTCAAAGGTCAAGTTCACGTTTGAGGTATTTGAATCGAAGTGGGTGTAGTATACTTAATAATAAATTATAGTTCAATATAGATATAATTTTTTATTTACTATTACTTTTTAATAAAAATGGTTTTGAAAGAGTTGACTTCAAAAGTTCAACAATTTTTTTAAATAATTCAAAAATGAAGTACACCATTGTTTTTTATTTTTTTGTTACATAATCAAAGTTAGCAAAAAGACGTATTTTATTAATAAATTCAAATAAATCAGTGAATTTTAACATTGAAAAAGTTTTTTTTATGAAAAAAATTAACTTTATGAAACCCAAAAAATGGACCAAAGAAAATGAAACCCTTTTATAATTCATATATCTAAACTACTGTATTAATAAACTAATTAAAATAATACAATGTCGGCTCTTTCACTCACGGTGAATGCGACAGATGGTCGAGCGCGTCAGTGCACTTTACACCTACCGCACGGTGAAGTAGAAACGCCTGTTTTTATGCCGGTTGGTACAAAAGGGAGTGTCAAGTCTTTAACATATGAACAAGTGACAGAGATGGGGTGTCAAATATTGTTAGCGAACACGTATCACATGTACTTGCACCCAGGAGTGACTGTTTTAAAAAAGAGTGGCGGTCTTCACAACTACACAAAATGGAATGGAAACATCCTTACGGACTCTGGTGGATTTCAAATGGTTTCATTATCCGAAACGATGAGTGTCTCAGAGGAAGGTGTAGTCTTTGAATCGATTGTAGACAAGAAACAAATCAATTTGCCACCCGAGGAGTCGATTCACATTCAACAAGCCATTGGTTCGGATATTATGATGCAACTCGATGATGTTGTGTCTTCACTCACAACAGGCCCACGAGTCTCGGAAGCTATGGAGAGGAGTGTCCGGTGGTTAGGGCGGTGCAAGAAAGTGTACGAAGAGACCAAAGACAAACAGAATTTGTTTGGGATCATTCAAGGGGGTTTAAACGCAGACCTTCGTAAAAAGTGTTTAGAAGGGATGGTGGCTGTCGACACTCCTGGGTATGCTATTGGTGGGCTATCCGGTGGCGAAGCAAAAGATGACTTTTGGAGAATGGTCGACGTCTCTGCACAAGGCCTTCCCGAGACTAAGCCGCGATATTTGATGGGAGTTGGATATCCAGTGGAGATGATTTTATGTGTGTTGTTTGGTGTTGATATGTTTGATTGTGTGTACCCGACTCGTACTGCACGATTTGGGACGGTATTTTCCGATGATGGGATGGTCGCATTAAAGGTGAACAAATACAAAGATCAATACGAAGTGATTGACAAAAACTGTGACTGCTTGTGTTGCCAAAAAGGAAACGGATTGACCAAATCGGCGTTGCACTTCATGTTTGTGAATGGAGCAGAAGAGGGAACGCCAGTCGCACAATACTTGACACATCACAACATCACTTACTTGTTCAATTTGATGAGGAAGTACCGAGTCGCAATTCGAGAAAAGAAAGCAAAAGTGTTTGCCAAGGAGTACATCATGAGATTCTATGGTGGTATCCAACATGTCCCAGCTTGGATGATAGACGCTCTGAAGAAGGCTGAAGTGAGTTTTGATTAATTACTTTTATAGACGCAGTTCGTTACGTATCATTATCGTACCGCGTTGGATATCGCATAACACAAAGAAGTATTAAACTTTAAAATAAGTATATTTTTTCGGTATGTAGCTTTCTCTGGCATACACCGAAGTGAGCATGTACTGCGTGCTGACTTTGACATCTTGTGGAATGTGTGCATCAATCACTCCATTAACAACTTCGTTGCCTCGATTCTTCAAACTATCCAATTTGGAAATGTCGATCAATTTATACAATTCGCGCAACACAACAATGTTCGAGCCAAGTGCTTTCTTGTGTATATCTCCACATGTTTTACATAGTATGACGCCGTTGTCATCGTCAAGATAAATCGTCTTATTGTCCCCACAATCCGCACAAACGGTGTTTGCAGTGATTGAAATAAGTAAATCGATGTAATTCGACAATTTCTCTCTTTCAAAAATCATGAACTTCGGTACTGGGAAGCTGTAGGAAATGTAATTTGTGTCTGGCAGGAGGTTCAACTTGTACAGCTTTTCTCTCGCTGAATTGATCGAGACTGCTCGAAGCACAGAAATCCACTTCCACTTGTCTTGCACCGATACTGCTGTCGCTGTCTGTGATTCTCCTCTGATATTGAATTTAAAAGCAGCGGCGTTGTTGACTGCAACAACTGCTTCTGCAGAAATCGCAGAAACAACAACTTTCATGTGCCACTTATCTTTACTCAGTGATTCCGCCAAAGTGTTGTAAACATAAAGATACCCGTTTTCTAACACACAGTATCGGTCTTTCTCTTCGTGGTGGTCGTTCACTTCTATTTTGGGCCGTAATGTGAACCCTCTCGGTGTCATGAGTAAGTTTGCAGCTGCCCGTTCTCTTGGGGAAAGAGCCAACGGGGATACTTTCGCTCTTTCAACCTCTTTTGATTTGAGTTCAACGCCAGCAGCAAACGTCGAAAGTCCTAATATCTTCTTTTCCTTTTCAAACATTTTCAGTTGCATTTTCAGCTTCCCTCTGTAAAAGAGTTCTGATGTGCTGCTGATATTTGTGTTTAGCCCTTCTGTTGTTTCCACAGCCAAAAGCCTTGAAATTATGCTGCTGTGATTTTTAGCTAAAACTTCGTCAATTGCAAGCATCCAATCCTCTTGATCTGTTGCGCTGTCAGAGGTGAGTCGCACGTTGAAATTTGTGTTTTGAAGAGTGAAGTGTGTGTCGTCAGCCCAGTACATAGTGAGGGCAAAGAGGTTAATAACATACTTTATTTTAATCTTGTTCTTCTCGATATACGCATCAACATCCTTCACTTTTGTCTTGGTCATCCCAATTAAAATTGTGTCGGACAGCAAGAAGAGTATAATCGGGCCAAACTGCAAAGTGTTGAAACTTCCATATTTGATGAGTTGTCTCTTTTCGTCGCCGGTCAAATCAAACTTCTTGGTTTCTAGATGGTGCTTCAATTTGATTAGAAGTTGTTTATTCTCAGACTGACGCCTTCTTTCGTTCAAATAGTCTCCAATCTCTTTGATTGTTTTAATTTCCGGTTGTAACTTTTCGAACTCGACGTGTGACCGTGGAAGGTACTTCAAAAAACCTTTGATGAACAATTCATATCGTGGGACTCGTTGAATTGGTAAAATCAAATAAGCAAAAATGTCAAGGTTGTTCACCTCGGGTTGCATCGAGAGTTGTTTTAAGTTATTTGTAAACGCTTTGTTCTTTTTCTTCATGCCGACGATATACTCACTCGTTTGGTCGTAAGAGTTGACATACGTTGTGTAGCATTTCAGAAATTTTGAAAACTTACTCAGTACAGTGGAAATACCCGTTCCGTATATGTTTGTTTTTAGCATTGCGTTCAAGTTCGTTTCAAATGTTGAGTTGTACGTGATAATCATTTCCAAATTCTTCAAACACCCTCTCAACACTTTGTCGTCCTTTTCTTCAAGGAGTTTCGACAAATAGTTCTTCTGTAATATGCGCAAGTTGGCGACGTATTTGTGCTCACTCTCTACTAACTCCTTCACCAAATTCTTTCTCTCTTTCAAGCCACAAACTTCAGGCAATTTACGCACACAAAACCCTCGTATTCTTTTCTGTATTAACAATATATGCTTAAGAACCGAATCTGTTGCTTGTGCATCAAGTCTATTGAACTGTTCGTTCTGTTTCTCAATTTCGTTGTTGTAATTTGTTGAATACAAAAGCGTTTTAGCAATCGAAGTGACACTCTCCAACTCTTGGTCAATCACAAGTTCCTTCAGCTCCATCCCGCTCCCAAACTCATCAACGACATACAACTTTCCTTCATACAAAAATACTCCTCTATATACCTCTGCCATCTTCTCGTCTTCATCTTCATCTGCAACGGCTTTTTGGGTTTGAAGTTCTTTTATTTCCTTATCATCTTGAAGTTGTTTCTCCTCCTCTTTCTGCATCACTTCTCTCATTTCTTGTAAACCATTCTTATTGGGTACTTTTAGTTGACTTTTATGTGATACTTGTTCGGTGTCAGTCTTTTCCTCCTCTTCATTTTCTCTCCTCTTCTGTGCTGTCGTTCCTCCACTTCTTTCATTCACAATCTCCAATCGATTCACTGTGAGTGATGGGAGTGTTTGATCATTCTGTTCTTTGTCCTTATTGACTGGCGTTTCTATTATTCCAATCTCCGATTTCACCTCATTTTTATCACTTTCTTTTTCGGGTACGGTTTTTACTTCAATGATATCATTAATCTTCTCTCTTTGAATCTCCTGACTTTCCTTAGCTTTTTTGTCGTCTTTCTGGTTCGTTTCGTCCTTCTTCTCATCTTTTATGGATTTTAAATTATTATTTTTATCTTCAACAAGATTTTTCGCGCAGGTTTTGTGTTGTGATTCAGTCGAAGATTCAACCTTTGGTATTTGGTGCTGTTGATCTTGATCTTTAAACGTGTCAAGTTCCATTTTTTGAAATGCTCGAGATTGAACAAGCGGAATGGGCTTAACAGAAGAGGGGATTTTTTGAGGGCGAGAAGCGGTGCGGCGTTGGTTGGCAAGAGCAACAATAGAGGCGTCTGGCTTGTCGAATTTGTCAGACTTCTCTCTTGTCACACCAACCATCTTGCCGTCCTTCCTGACTGTGAATGCTCTTCTTCGTGTACTCTCCGACAACGTCTCACTCCGAGCAAGGGAATTGGACATCTTGTTCAAGTTCATTGTCTCTTGTTTCATTAGAAAGCCGACTAATGCAATTATCTGACGTTCTTCACCTTCCGCAATTTTCTGAAAGGACAACCCACTCATTTTGCCGTATTGCTTCTCAGCAAGACGCATGGCTGACTCAAGTGGTGTGTCTGTCTTTTGTGTTGTGTGAGTTATCTGCTCCATTATACACAGAAACGCATGACCGTCTTTAAAGTCTTCGAGTGATGTGATGTACAAAGACGAGTTCGGAAGATGGTCATTGACCCATGCAACATACTTCTCCATTATATGAAGCAATAAAGATATTTGTGCAAGGATATATCCTATTTTGTTTTTTCAAAATAAACACCTTTATTGGCATTTTCGATTATTTGGTATCTTATAAATTATCTCATTTATTATACAATTTTATCGTTTCACAAAGTTTATATAAAATAATAATGAAATACAACTTAAATTACAATATAAATATAAATTTGTTTTTAATATTGTAATATAGAGAAAAAGTTACATAATTACGAAAAAACATCAGAACACCGACAACATAGTCAAATAATAACTAAATTGTCACCAATAAGGGTTTAGCCAACTCTATAAAAACTTAAAAATAGAACGGATTAAAATATATAGTATAATTATTTAAATAATAGTTTCCAGTTAATAATTTAAAAATATGAAAAGAGCTTGAATCTTTTTTTCAAACATACAGTTTTGTTTTTAACTTGTTTTAAACACGATGAAAAGAAATACAAAACTGTAAATATTTATTATTAAATATAGACAATTAAAGGAAGATTTTCGGTTTTTGTTCTTTTTTTTTCAAAATATTTGTTGTTAAAAAAAATAATAAAAAATAATTAAAATTGTAGTTTTTAATTGTAATTAGTGAATTACAAAACCGGTGATTTCCATATATTTTTGTAATATTTTTAATAATTAAAATATTATTAAATTAACTCCAATTTATGTATTATATTTAATAATTAAATTATTGTAAAATTAACTATAATCAATGAAATAATACTTAATAATTAAAATATTATAAATTTAGCAGTGATTTTTGTATGATACATAATAATTAATTTATTATTAATTTAACTATAAATAGTCCACACAATTCCACGACATAATACTCACTTAGAGAGTAGGTGGTTCATCACAAATATCGTCATGCTAACGTCGAGTTCCATCTGTTCGTTAATGTCGACTGTTCTTTCACCTTTAGCTCTTTTTTCAAGGAGTTCTTCGAGTTTCAAGTCGACGGTTTCTGCATTGAGACCCGGCAGTTTGACACTGACATTAAAGACTCCCGCCTCTTCCGACGAGATCACAATTTTTGTGAGTTTTCTGACCGCCTTTGGTACGACAGAACTGACGATGACGCCTTTTTTCGCCAAGTCGTTATATGAATATTCCTTAGGTTTGAAGAGCTTGCCTTCCAACTTGTTTTTGCCTTTCTTCTGTTTTCCTTGACAGATCCGTTGGACGCATTGTTGGCAATATTCTTTATACGAGACTAAAATGTCTTCCAAATCCTTTTGTTTCTTGAGTGCTTGTTTAATTGAGATGTCAAGCCGCGTCAACTCCTTTTGTTGTTGTTCTTTGATCTCCGCTCGATTCGAAATTTCAATCGCGACGTCTTTAAGAAATTGTTTGTAGTTGTCCTCTTTGTTCGCAAGACCCTTTTCACACAACACGTCCAAGTTCTTTTTCACTTCTTCAATAGTCTTCAACACACTTTCATTGTTCTTCTCTTTCGCTAACTTCTCTGTTTCGTCGAGCATGTCTTGGAAGGTACTAATATCGCTCTCCGTGTTTTTAATATACTTAAAGAACCCAATGACCATCGACTTTGTTTTGTTATACAAGACTTGGTCCTCGTCATCGGACGACTGTTGGATGTACTTTGGTGTTAACGTGAGGGTGATGTCCTTTCCCTCATACAACTGGACTTCTTTGATCTCGCCAAGTATCTTTCTCAACGGGTCTTCCTTGTTCGCAATTTGTTCCAAATGGTCGACCAATTCCTGATGGAACATTTTGAGTTGTGGGGGCGTCATAATGACAACTGGTTTAACGTCTTGGATGAGTGTCATGTACTTATCTATTTGCAATTTCGTTTCTGGTGGCTCCACATCGGTGAATTCAGTTAAGAATTGTTTGACTTCGCTACATCTCTCGCTGATCCAATCGTTCATAGGTAAGTACCACATGTTCGCCTCAGTGTTTGGAAATGGTGTTTGTTGTTGGAAGAGTTGTGTGAAGACTTTATTGATCATCAGCGCGTTTTGCATTTGGTCGAGGGACTGTCCCGTCTCATTTGATGTGATATAATGTCCGACAAATCTATAGTACATGAAATATCCGGTGTATTGTAATAATTCCGAATTTGGGAGATTTGGGTATGCTGCAAGTGAACCGTCGTTAATGACTTTACACAAGTACCTGAGCCCATAAGGATAATGACTCAGACTTTTTATAATAGTCCCATAGAAGATGTTACACGCCTCTTTCAAGTCAGCCACACGCTTCTGGATCTTCTCTTTTAATTCAGGCGCACTACTTACCTTTTCAAGAGGAAGGTCTCGGAGGGGACAAACTCCTCCAGTGACCTCTTCTGTTTCATTAACGTAGTCGTCTAAGACTCTTTTCCCATTCAGTTCGATCTTTCTGTATGCCGGAAATTCTTTGTTAAGTCGTTGGACGCACGGCGAGAACGTGTCGGCTAAGAACTTCAGTCCTTCCTTTCGTTTCGCGTAGATCACCATCATCTGTGGGACGACGGATTGGTTCTGGATTTGCGTGAAAAGGGGGACCATCAAACTGAGTTGTTGTTCAATAGCTGTGCGGACAACTTTGAGTATCAAATAGTCCTCCCTTGTTGTTTGTCCTTCCATAAAAAGGTTCAGAAGTATGCAGTTGAGCATTTCCTTGATATCCGACTCGGATTGTTGTAAACAGTTAATAAGTCTAGCGAGATACACTGGCTCCGTCTGTAATAAGAAGAACAAGTTTCCATATAACTCGAGCTTCTCGTGTGTTAACACCACATTAGAAGTACTCTCCTCATCAAGTTGTTTCTTCTTCTTTTTCTTCTTGTCTTTAGCCAACACGGTCCCCGCGTTTTGCACAAGAAGAGTGATCCGGTTCTCTATGTCGGCAATGTCTCGGTCGAAGTCGGAGTTCTTTCGAATTTCATTCAAAAGTGTTCGTCGAAGCTCAGTGATCTTCTGGATGAAGTCATCGTCCTCTTCTTCTCCTTGATTCTTTAATAACTCGGAAATCTCTCGGGCTGTTAAATTGCCCCGTTTGATCCGGTCTTGGTACATTCGCTGTTCTATCACTTTCCTTAAAAGCAATTTAGACTTCAAAATAGAAAGAAGAACAGACTCATAGTCTTCAGCAGCTTTATCAAACTGCATTTTATTATGTGCAGCCATCTCAACAAGAGATACTATTGGGTTTCCAGAAGGATCGCTCACAGAAGAAAGTCGCTTTTTGCGTTGTGTGGCTTCTTGAGTTATACTCATAGGATTTGATTTTTGAGAGGTAAGATTGTATCAAATGTGATGCTATTTAGAGGACATTTTCTTTCGCATTGATCGAATTTTTTTTTTCTCTTTTTAGGGAATATGGTTCAAATTTAATTCTTTTTAATATGACAAATCAATACTTTTGTCGGAATTGTAAAATGTCGATATAATAAACTATAACAAGCATTTCGACTTTGAGTTTCAGTGAGTTTGTAACCAATCAAAAACTATTGAGGAAAAAGTTATTGTTGGCTTTTTTAAAAAATTATAAATTTCGTTTTTTGCGTGAAGGTTGAGACTTTCAATGCAATTTATTTATTCCTCTAAACTTAATTCTGAACTCAAATTATCGTGCAAAATTTCGAAGTGTTACTGTAAAAAACACTTAATACTTTTTTTATCGGAAAACTATTTTTGAATTAAAAAAAGGTGGAGATTTCATACAAAAAATGAACTTTTTATTAAAAGTAAAGAATTATTGAATATAGTTCTGATAGTTCAAAAAATGGATATTAATTATTTAAGCAGATTATTATTTAAAAATAATAATTTGTTTATTATGATTTTTATAATTAATGATTGTTATTTATAATCATTTATGGGACGAAAATGATATACAAACATAAATACCCCGATAAGGAGTATTTCCAATATTTGCAATAATTTCATAGTAAGAAAAAACGCTATTTTCAGCCTTTTTTTGAAGTGGTAAAATAAGAATAGATCAAAATGAACAAATAAAATAACTAACAAAAGTCACTCGTATTATCCCGTTTATTTAATACATGTAGGACTATTTTTTTCGTTTTTTTAATTGAAAAAACATTTCAAAAGTGATTTATGTGATTATAATTTGGGAAAATATCCGTTTTTTGCATTAAAAAACATTTAATTTTAGTATCAATTTTAAAATATATTATTTAATTGTTAATCGTGGCTCAAAAACGCATTAATTATCACTTTTTACTAATAGTATTATAATTTATATAAACACTCCATTGGTTTATTATTTCAATAATAATATTTGGGAATTGAAATTTGTTAAATAAAGTTCTTTTAGTTGGCGCAAATTATACGTATAAAGACGGGTTTTACATCCTAAATAATGTTCTGGTTTTGTTGAAAATGTTAAAGACAAAGGTTTTATGTCTAAACTAAACTATTAATTAATAACAATAAATTATATTACAATAGTACATTATTTATTAACATAAAAATGACAGAATAATCACAAAACAAATTCTATTAACATAATTAAATAAAATTTGTTTTTTCTGTTTTAACTTTCAAAAAAATCGGTTTTTTATGAATTCGGTCCAAAAAACGTATTTTTTTGTAAACTCTTAGGCAAAATTTATATCAATTACAATAAAAATGTGTAAGATTTTCAAAGCCATCCACATAAAAGTGGTCTATCACGTTAACACTCTTAAACATAATTAGTTTTGTAAAATGATTTAAACTATTTTAATAATAATTATATTAATATGTTTGATACACATATCTTCTTATTAAAAATATATAAAAAAGGCTCTGATAGGGGTGAAATATGTCTTCAGCTAATGTCCGACAAATGAGTATATTTTTCAAATCTTCATCGCCTGTGAGATAATCAAATAATTATTTGAATCTTAAACTTATTCATTGAAATTTTATTTATTAAATTATTTAAAAAAACATAAAACACAAATTATGGGGTTTCTTTTTTAAAATAATAAAAAACAATTTGAATGTTATTTTTTTAATTTTGAGATTTGTTTAAAATCTTAAAATTGGTTTGATTATTTGTGTTTTAGATTGTAAACATTCCATTATTCGAAAAAGTTTTTTTTTGATTTTTTTTAATTATAATTAATTATAATTATTGTTCTTTAATTATTAATTTTAATTATATTATAAAATTATAATAGTTAATTAAAACAATGTATTATTATTAAAGATAAATATCAAAATTTAATTGTTGTGTCTTAACACTTTAATTATCATTGAACAAAATTCAAGTAGTTTAAAAATCGGGAAATCTCGAGTTTATTAAATAAAATTCCGTTTTTTAGAGATTATATTATCTGAATAAACAATATACAAGCAGAAAATAGAAAATCATCAAAAATTGGATTAATATCCCTGTTTTTACAAGGATATTAATCCCAAAACGAAAATAAAAGAGTTTTTTTAAGTGTTAATAATAATCCAAAAAATTGAATAACAATTTACTTTTATTTAAAAAAACAATTATTTTTTAAAATAAATAAATACCATTTATATATTATTTCAAAATAGTATAAAAGCTATCTTATAATAAGAAAAAAAAAGATAAAAATGTCAAAAAATATGAGTTCCAATAACTTTTTCAAAAAGGGGTATTTTTGTTATCATTCAATTTTATAAAATCTTTAAATTGTTATTGACATTTTTTTGTAAAAATTGTTAAATACAAATGATTTAAGTTATGATAAAAAGCTATATTTATAATAATAATATAATACAAAAAACAATTTTTTAAACAGAAAATACTTAAGTTTTTTAACCAATCAAATTTTATACCTATTTTATTTTTGATGTTTTTATCAATTTACATTTTAAAACAATAAAATGTACTTATTTTAAAAACGAAATCATTTGTTTGGAATGGGTATTATAATTAAAAACGACTATTAATTTGTAAGGTGTTATTTGGATAGCTAAAAGAAAAAATACATGAACAATATAATTTATTATTTTATGTGACAATTTCATAATTAAATAGCATTGACACATTTTTTTATTCAAATTTTTATTATTATTTATGTTGGGCCACAAAATTCAACAATGAAAAAAAAATACAATTAATGATAATCATTTCAAGCATTTTTGTGTATAATTTGACATATAAAAGCAGATGAATTGATCTTCTTTTCCACTAAAACATCTTATGAGTTGTAACCGTTATTTTAGCAAGGTTAAAGGTGATTCATTCTCATGCAGTTCAAAAACAAATACCAAATCTCTTTCAAGTAGAAACAGTATAATGAATTTTGAGGATTTTTCAGTTGAAATGATATATTATGACAATAACTCACACTCTTCACAACAACCGTCGTCACCAGTGAAATTGTTTTCTCCGAAAAAAAGAGCTCCTTCCCCATTAAATAGAAAGTCGCCAGAAGAAAGGATGAGAAGGATGTTGTTTAACTTTCCTTCTCCATTGCTGAAGACCTACTGTGAAGTCGTTTGTTATATTGTTATTTATTCATTTGTTACAAATAATTTACAATTTGTATTAAAATTAAAAAATATTAATAAAAATAATATATATCTTATTTGAAGTTATTATGTACGACTTTTGGTTCGTAAATTTTTTTCGATGTTTTGAACTATTTTTGAACAAATTTGATTGTCATTTCATTTGGAATTGCATTTTGCGTTTTTTATAGAAAACATTTGACATTACAACGCCCAGTAAGTTCTTTACAAATATTGTAAAATATTATATTTATTATACTTTAATAGTATATTATAACACTTTATAGTTTCAATATATAACACAAATAGTAAACTATTATCAACAACTCAAAACAAGTTTGTAAAACCAGAAGGGTGTAACTATTTCTATGTTAAAACACTTCTCCAATTTTATTCTTCACGTGGGAAGCTTACTGACCTTTTAATTAATCTGGCTTTTGAAGAGATAGAAAAGACAAATTGCCACAATGCACTCTTTAGAGGAAATACAGTATTCACTCGGGTATTTTTTTATTATTTAAACCACTATTGCTCAGACTTTTTAACTCGAACGACTCGTAAAGTTGTCAACGAAATTAATTCAAATGAAAAATACTCGCGGCTGAATGAACTTTCAAGAGACTCTGATGAATTTAAAAAAGCATTTGAAGACATACTAAAAGTATTTACTAACACTCTGAAAGAAGAAAAGCCACAGTTTCCTTCGCATCTTCAAGAAATTTTGAGAAGTATTTTTACACAGATAAATGATTACAGAGACAAGAAGCAGGCACTCAGCACAACAACAACTTTATTATTCTTAAGATTTTTACTCACTCCATTTTCTGCTGTTCCAAACGTCTTGATTGAGACACAGAAATTGATTACTGAAATAACAAACAAAAGAAAAAGTTGTACGTTTATTACTCAATCGACAGACCAAACAACAAATTTTAAAAGATCCATAGAAAGTTACATAGAAGGTGTTCTATTTGGTCCGACCACCTTTGCTTTGTCGAACAGAGGATTTGATTATTCTGAGCAAGAAAACAGTCTAATTGCTTTGATTAATGTTATCAAACAAGAAATGCGAATCTTTTCAACAAAGTACAAAGGAGATTTCGATGAGGTCTTTTCGTTATTAAAAGGGAAGACTGATGTTCTCGCGACATGTTCGATCTCTTACTTCACTGATGAATATACTCGGTGGATGGAAGAACGAGAGAAAAAGGCCATAAAAGAAAATGAAGTTCTTCGGAAGAGAATCGACGTCTTAAAAGAGAACATCGACCGTATCAAAACGCGGATCTCAGCCGTTGAAGTCGTGTCAAATTTTTGTTTTTAATTGATGAGTCCTTACTCTTATTAATAAAATAACTCATTGAAATAACAAATAAATAATTACAACTCGAACAACGACCGAATGGAAACTGCGGTGCCTTTCAAACACCCCACAAGCTCTCCAAAATATTGGTCGATAAAGACATGGACGACTCCTTTGTTCGTTTTAACGTCGCACGTCAGATTCTTCCAATCAAAGACAAACTTTCTTTTGTTCAGTGTCTCGTTGACTTTGTCCCGGACTCGTCCCTCCCAGATATGACCAAATGCCAAACACGCAAAATTGAACATTTCAGTCGTTATTACATGTTTGCCTTTAAACACATTCGAGAAGTCGCCA